AGAAGAGAGGTGGAGAGAGAAAGTCCAGGGAGAATCTGGGTCTCTAGAAGTAACTAGGATACATGAGAAAAGCTAAAAGACTGATCAGTTCATAGGTTGAAGCTATCTCCCCAATTAGATAGTGTGATCTTTTGACTTTGGACATTGTGGAATCACATGGGAAGGGGGTCTCAAAGAGAAATTGTCTAGATTAGTTTGACCTGTGTGGGTACATGAGGGACTTTCTTACCTGGGTTGAGGGTCTTGTGCTGAGTGAAAAGGAGAATGCTAAGTAGGTGGCACATGCATGCATTTGTTGCTTTTTTTTTTTTTGACTGCAGATGTAATATGACCAGTTCCAGTTGCCTTGACTTCGCAGCAACAATGGGTTGTGAACCAAATGAACTTTGTCCCCTATGTTGTTGCTTTTGTCAGGTGGTGTGTAAATATATATATATACATATATATACATATATGTATATATATATATATTTATCACAGCAACAGGAAAGTAACTAAGACAGGTAGGCTCTGGAGATGGAGCCTCTGGGAGGAACAGGTCAGATGAGTTTGTAGGGTAAGGGGGCCCTCATGATAGTCTGAGGGGCCTTAAAAGAAAAGGCAGGATGGCTTCTCTCTGACACTTAGGGAAGCTCTGAGAAGGCTGTAGTTTGCAGCCAGCACCTTGGTTCTGTGCTTCCTACCCTGCAGAATGATGAGAAACCGGTGTCTATCATTCAGTTGTCACCCAGCTTAGTATTTTTGCTACAGCAGCCTCCGAGAACCCAGACAACTATATATCCATTAAAGAGGCTATCTTAAATTTTAAAATACCTTACTTTTGTGTATGTGCATCTAAGTGACAAGTGCCTACGGAAGGCCAGAGGCGTTAGATCCCCTGGAACTGGAGATACAGGTTGTAAGACCACCCAATATGGATGTTGAGAATAGAACTTGGACCTGCTAAAAGAGCAGCATGTACTGCTAACCACTGAGCCACCTCTCCAGGCCCTGAGAGGCTATCTTAAAGATCTGGTTTTATGGATGAGGGAAGAGAGCATCAGAACGTCTGGAGACTGAGTTAAAGGAAGTTGTGAGCCACATGCTGTGGGTGCTGGAAACTGAACTGACTCCTCTGGAAGGGCAGCACGAGGTCTTAGCCATCGAGCCATCTCTACGTCCCCATGGGAGGGACACTTTAATAACTAGATTTAGCTACCAACACCATTTGAAAAGATTTATATTAAATAAGAATAGCATATAAACCAACTACTGGGGACAACTGGGGTGAACACAACCCAGAAATGTCTGTAATGAGAATTCTGGGGCGGCGGTGGCGCACGCCTTTAATCTCAGCACTTGGGAGGCAGAGGCAGGTGGATTTCTGAGTTCGAGGCCAGCCTGGTCTACAGAGTGAGTTCCAGGAGAGCCAGGGCTACACAGAGAAACCCTGTCTCGGAAAACAAACAAACAAAAACAAACAAACAAACAAAAATATACATATACATATAGAAGAGAATTCTGTGTAAAGATAGCTACTCCAGAGTCCAGCTACACACATCTTTAATTTAGACCTCAGTTCCAAAAGACAATGCATCTCTGCCCAATATCTAGTTCTTTTCTGTGGCACCCACATCCATCCAACTACCATCCAGAAACAGTCCTGCCGTTAGCTGCTCCCTCTGAGCATCTGCCAGTCATGGAGTTGACTACCCATCACTCCTTCTTGAGAAATAGGTGTAAGAGTTGCCAACTCACCTCTGCTTCTGTTTCTCTGAGGACCTTTGCTGCCATCTCTGAACAGGTCTTTCTATGCTTGTCCTCTGGTTTGGAAGGCTTGGAGCAGCCAAGATTTGGCAGTGGCCGGAAATGAAGACTGACCCCTGAAAGTTTCTGTGGAGGGTGGGAAAGAGACTGGTGTTTCCAGGGGAGGCTGCCAATTGTGTCTACCTAATCAACCCCCACCCTCACCATTCAGCATAATTGAATTTTAGGGCTGGCTCAGCTGTTTAGATGGTTCAGCAATTAAGAGTACTTGCTGCTCTTTCAGAGGACCTGAGTTTGGTTCCCAACACCATACTTAGGTAGTTCCTATCTCTAATTCCAGTTACTTGACATTTTCTTTTAGCCTTCAAGGGCAACTGTGCTTGTGTGAGCCGAAGCACACGGGCACAGACACACAATTAAAAATAAAATAGCCCTAAACTTTGGCTGTAGAGAGTATCATGCAGAATACAGGCATTTTCTAATCTCTTGCTGCAAAATGTGCAGACTTAGCTTAAAGAGAAAGGAAAACACATGCTCTCCCCCCCTTTCCTCCTATTTTCTTTCTTTCTTTCTTTCTTTCTTTCTTTCTTTCTTTCTTTTTTTTCGAGACAGGGTTTCTCTGTGTAGTCCTGGCTGTCCAGGAACTCACTCTGTAGACCAGGCTGGCCTCAGAAATCTGCCTGCCTCTGCCTCCCAAGTGCTGGGATTAAAGGCGTGCACCACCACCGCCCAGCTCCTCTTATTTTCTTTTGGCCAGAGTGTGGCTATAATAGTTGGCACTAGTGGGGCCATTTAAAACAGTGATGGGCCATGTGATGAAGGGTATACACAGACAGAAGAGTAACCACTAGTGGGCTCCAGGCTGCTTGTGGTTGCAAGAAGTAAACTACGTCGCTCCAGCCACCTTTGCTTTGGTTTTTGGACGCAGAATTGGGTATGCAAAACTACATTATAAATCATGTCTACCATGTGCTGGAGCCTAATGGGCTGGGAGGGTCAGCAATGGTAAAAGTATACATATGACAAAATCAGTTTCTGCACCCCAGGGAGATAGGCCACCTGTTAAGATCACAGCATCAGAGCCAGTGGTGGCAGGACGCAGAAGTGTGAATGTCAGTCCTTGTCACTTTTCACAAGGTCCTATGAAGTGAGGTGAGCTAAAGCCAGAGACAGAAAGGAATCACGCTTTGCTCTGGAGATGGCAGTTGCTAGCCTGTTCTTGGAGTAGATTAACATCTTCAGGCACTGAAAAGTACCAAGTCTTTAGTCCTCCCAAGTGCAGCTATCAATAGCATTGGCCTTGAAATGGGAAGACATCAGACCAGGGCAGCAAGTAAGGCTTTCCAGTCAAAATGTGTGACTTCTGCAGCTTCCAAGCCAGCTCTGGGGGCCACCTGTCAACCTAAGTCTTCAGGAGGCCACCACCTCTAAACTGAAGAGGCACAGCTAGAAGACCTTGGGTGAAACCGAGACCAGATCTTTGACTGTGAATAATTCCAAAACTTCATCTCCCAGAAGTATGAAAGTAGTTGGATGGACCTCCAAGTCTTCCCCAAGAGTAGACAAGCTAGAAGAGCTATGTGGGCCCAGGGCTACTCTTTAGGAATCTCATTCTGAACGTGACCATGGAGAGACAGGAATCTTTCCAGAGGGCAGGATTGGACTGTCAGGTGTTGTTTAAGGGACTGGCCACTTGTTGGGGGGTGGGGGGGGGAGAGAGAGAGAGAGAGAGAGAGAGAGAGAG